TTCTTCCTTCAGCACCAGAGGTTCTTGGTCATATACCACTTCCTTAAAAGGATCAGTGTTGACCAGCCCTTTCTGGTACAGCGGCTCTGTGTATTTCTTCCATCCTGTTTTCATGCTTTCTGCATCATTCAACGTTTCGCCCAATGAATCTTCCAATATTGCAACTCAAAGCTTGAGATTTTTTTCTCAGTTCTTTTAGCTTGAGACATGTCAAAGGTATTCTTCCCTTTTGATTTCCCAACTTGAGGTCTTTGCACACTTTCTAATATTTTGACTTTGCTTCTCAAACTTCCTCTGAAATCTTCTGTTCAGTTGGCTGACACCATCATTTCCTCCTTTTGCTTTGCCTACGTTCTAAAGTAAGTTTCCAGAGTTCCTTCCTCCAAACAACTGTTGGTGACAAACTCCGTTTCTTGAAGCCAGCCAGGCTGCGCCCACCTGGGTCTGCTGAGGGATTGGCTGGGGATGTTCTCTGAGGAGAAAGACTTTCCCAGGGGTACAGCTGTGTTCCCCCCACTGCTGAGGACAGGAAAAGAACTGGCAGAAAGGAACAAGGGGCAGAATCCCACAGGATTTCAGCACCCTCCTGCTGGAGCTGTGGAGCCCTGACTGGCACAGATGGTCAGTGTGCTTGATCACTAAACTGAGGGTTTGTTGTAATTAAGTGCTGTCGAGTTGTAGATGACTCATAGCGACCCTATGAACAGATGACCTGAACCCTTGTATAACCTTCATTGTTTCTCCAAGTGCATAGGTTTCCAGAGACAAGCTATTTCAGAAGTGGATGTCATTCCTGCTTCCAAGCTTGTTTTAATCCACTATGGGTAACCATTATCACATTTGACACCTCAGTATCACCGTGTTCAGTATCACAACAACCATGAGTTACTGCTGTACAGCAAATGGACAGACCAGTGCTACACTACTTAGAAGAATGCTCGGCCAAAAACAATTAAAACCAGTCCTGAGCGCCACAGAGTAAAATCACCTACTTCTGGTCAGGTATCGTCACTTTCTGTCCACTAGGCAAACTGAGCTCTCTATGTTGTTATTGTTAAGTGTCACTGAGTCATAGACAACTCATAACAACCCTATGAATGAAAGACCTGAACACTTGTATAATTTTCATAGTTTCTCCAAGTTCATAGGGTTTCAGGAGACAAGTTATTTCAGATTTAAAGACCAAGGCCTGGTTTAAACTCCATGAGCTAAACCTTTCCCACTGTGTCTCACCACACAAAACTGCCCAACTGGGAGTATTCTACTGCTACCTCAAGTTCCAACCTGATTTAAAAACCAAGGCATGGAGGGAGCTCTGGTGGCCTAGTGGCAAGAAGCTGCACTGTAATCCCAGAAGTGCACAGTTCAAATCCACCAGATGCTCTGCCGGGAAGGAGGGACAATCTCCTCCTGTACCAGTCAGATCTGATTTGATGGTACACACACACACACACACACACACACACAACAAACAAACAAACAAACAAACAAAAAAACAACAACAACCAAGACATGGAGGGAGCTCTGGTAGCCTACTGGCAAGAAGCTGCATGGCAATCCCAGGGGTATGTGGTTCAAATCCACCAGATGCTCTACTGGAGAAGGAGGGGCAATCTCCTCCTGTACCAGTCAGATTTGATTTGATGGTACACACACATAAAAATAATAAAATTTAAAAAAAACAACAAAAAACCAAGGCATGGTTTAAACTCTCTGAGCTAAACCGAGGACAGGTGGTTCATATCCACCCATCGGTCCTGCAGAACAAAGGCCTGGCGATTGCCCCTGTAAGGACACCGTCAATAAACTCCCCTTGGACAGTCCTGCTCTGCAATGCCTGAGGTTGCCATGAGGTGGAATGGAAACTTATTTTGTTAAAGCAAGAGCCACGTAGTCCCCGGATGGTGTGACTGGTTAGTGCTCTTGGCTAACCGAAAGTTGCTGGTTCTAGTCCACCCTGGAGGGTCGATGCCCTGGGTCTGTCAGAAGCTCCCTGCTTGCTTCTTCATTTATCAGAGCAAAGGTTTGGACCTGAAGGAAAAGTCGGAAAATGAGTGGTCTCCCCATGGTGCCTTGAAAGAAAGGCCTGGCAATCTGCTTCAGAAAACTCTACAGGGCACTGTCCTCTTTGGACGGATGTGGCCCTGCAAGGCCAGAGGACCATGGTTTCCATGCAGGAGCCCCACCCGCTGCTTTTGCCAAGCTGTGGCCCTGGGATGCTGTGAGCTGTAAAGGGTCATCACAGAGCAAGAAGGCTGATCTCTCCAGGTGGGGCTCCTCTGCCCTTCCCTGCCCTGAGGCAGTCTGATGGGGGCAGCCCTGTAGGTGGACACGGACATGGACACCGGGAAATGAAACACCAAGAGAACCTTTGCAGGAGGAGGAAGGCCAGCTTTGTGTGATCATAACTCATCTGACAAGACAGTGGAGGAGGCCGGCTTTAGAGAAGGTGGGCAGTGAGTCCCCAGGGGGCCTCAGGTTCCTCCCAAACTCAGTGGCCAGGGCAGACGTGGGCAGCAAGCAGGGCAATGAGGCCTGGCTTTCTCAGGCCCCAGGCAGCCCTTTGCTGGTGGTGAGGTAAGGATGGCTGCAAGGTACCCTGTGCCTGATGCCTAACCGGCTCAGTGGCGCCTGCACAGTCCTGGCATTGGGGACAGAGCTCACTCGCACAAAATATGGGAGCTCGGGACGTGAATGCCTCTCCTCCCTCAGGGCTTCTGGCTGTTCGGCGAGGTAGTTTCTGGAAGCCTTGTTCCTGCTGCCCTGGCCAGTCCCCAGCTCACAGTGACACCCCACACAACTGAGCAAAACTCTGCCTGGTCTTCTGTCCTCCCACACAATCGGCTGCAAATCGAAACACAGTGGCCCATGGAGCTTCATTTGCTTGTTTGAAGAGTCTATGCTTTCATTTCTTTATTTGCCCCATAGAGTTTTTAATGGACAGGTTGTTTTTTTTTTTTCTTAAGTAGATCACCAGGCCTTTCTTCCTAGTCTGTCTTAGGCTGGAAGCTCGGCTGAAGGCTGTTCTGAATCACAGCAGCACTGAAGCCTCCACAGACTGGTTGTTATTGTGGTTGTTCTGTGCCGTTGAATCAATGACCAATTGTAGCGACCCTATGCTCTGCAGCTCTGAAACCTGCCCTGTCCTGAGCCAGTCTCACTGACCCCGGCAAACCTATCCTCGTTACTCTAGTTACTGTGTCAATCCATCTCATTTGGGATCTTCCTCTCCCACGCTGTCCCTCTACCCTTATGAGTATGATGTCCTTCTCCAGGGACTGGTCCCTCCTGGACACGTGCCCAAAATACATGAGATGGAACTTCAAGATTCTTGTTTCCAAGGAGCAGGCTGGTTTTACCCTCTCAAGAAGAGACCTATTTGTTCTCTTGGCAGTTCATGGTATGTTCAAGACTCTTCTTCAGCACCACAACTCAAAGATATTGATTCTTCTTCTGTCATCCTTATTCATTGTCCAGCTCTCTGATGCACAGCAAGCATCTGAGAAGACCATGCCTGGATCAGGCGCACCTTAGTCTCTAGACTGACGTTGTGGCTTTCTAGCTCTCTCTCGAGGTCCTTGACAACATACTTTCCTAAAGCAAATTATCCCACTGACTGGTAAGGGCTACATTTGAAGTGCACCATTTAGGAATCGAACTAAGGTCTCCAGCACGGAAGGTGGGCATTTCACCACTGAACCACACTCCCCTCATAGCAGGGCCCCGCAGAGCTGACCTGCTCCAGAGTTTTAGGCAGGGAACCAGGAACAAAACTGGAGACCCTCTGGGGCAGAGAACAGCAGAGCATGAGGGTGGTACAGGGTTGGGTGAGGCTTTGATTTGACAGCATCGCTGCGAGTCAGAGTCAGCTCGACAGCACCTAACAGTCACAGGGCCCCAGAAGGAGGCGCGATGAGGCTCCGAGCCCATTCCCAGGACTCTCCTTCCCAGCGGTCAGTGGTCACTGTGTCTCCCTCAGGAACGCTACCAACACGGTGTGCCCTGGTGAGGCCCCCGGGGCAGTCTTAAGCTGAAGCCTGACCAGGGCTTGGGCCTGTAACAATGGCCAAGCTTCTGCCCACATCCGTGGCCTCAGACCCAACAGGACCCCTGGCTGTTTTGGGGGTTAAGCGGCGGGCTGGTTAGTGAGTGGCCAGCAATGTCCAGCAGGGACAGGACTGAGAAGGAGGAGCACGTGGAAGAGCCGCCTCATTGGCCAGCTGGACCCAGGGCAGAGGGACACAGCCAGGCTCCTTCCAAGACCTCATGCCCCACGTGAGAGCTGCCCTCAGGGGTGGGTGAGATAAGTCCCTGCAGCCTCAGGCGGGGCCGTCTCTGTTGGCAGCCATGAGGCAGTGGAGCCCAGCGGTTAGGAAACGGCTCTGGAATCATAGGCGTGATTCCCTCCACAACTCGGAACAACACACAGGAATGTTCTCCGGCCTGTCCTGGTGGCGTGGTGTTTAAGCATTTAGCTGCTAACCTAAAGGTCAGCCATTCACGTTTCCCACCTGCTCCATGGAGGAGGGTGAGATCACAGGCTCGGGCCCCTGGGGCAGCTCTCCTCGGCCCTGCAGGGACGCTGCCTGACACAACGGGGCTCTTGGCCACAGCTTGCTCACCTGTGAACGGCTTCAACCTGCAGCAGGACTGTATGGATGAGGTGGGAGGCTGGGCCTCCGGGCCAACTTCTCTACAGCCTGAGTGTCAGGAGCATCAAGAAAGGTGGCAGCATCTGTGGCCCCACCTGCTCTAACTCAAGCCAACAAATGCTGGTCCCAGGAAGTCAGTTCTCCGGGAGCTCAGCTGCCCTCTGACTGAAGCACTGCAGCGGCTGCTCAGCCTGGCCCAGGCCCAGGGGGCCTGCAGGCAAAATGGGGGCTGCACCCACTAGGCCCCCTCCCTCCTGGCAGGAAGCTGCCCACAGACCATAGAAGTGGGATGAGGGAGTGGAGGCCGGCCCCATGCCCCCGCTAGAGCCCCCTGCAGATGCAGCTTACCCCAGAGAGCCATGAAGACGGAGAAGAAGACGGTGGCCGGGTTGTCGAAGAGGTGACTGGCCCGGGCGGTGGCACACGCCGAGCTCATCTTCCAGTAGCTGCAGGTCTTGTCACACAGCGGGCACATGGTGATGTTGTGGCGCTGGTCACACATCTCCATGCTGAAAGACAGGCCACAGGTGAGGACGGGCAGGTGCTGGATCCTGCTGCCCAGGCGGACCCAGCGTCCCCCAGTGTCACACGCCACAGCGGCCCCTGCTCAGGGTTACAGATGCTCCCGTAGGAGCCTGTCCCTCCCTCTCCATCCAGGGCCGCCTGTGATGTGAGGCGACAGTCACAGGCCACCGCTGTAGAAGTGGGAGCCACGTGGGAGCCCGTCCCTCCCTCTCCCTCCAGGGCCGCCTGTGGACATGAGGTGATGTGGGCCATGGTCACAGGCCATCACTGTGGAGTCATATGAGCCACGTGGGAGCCTGTCCCTTCCTCTCCCACCAGGGCCGCCTGTGATGTGGGCCACGGTCAGGCCACTGCTGTGGAGATGTGGGAGCCATGCGGTGACATGGGACCCTGGGCTGTGGGAGGGCAGGTGACATGTAAAGATGCCCAGGGGGCTAAGGAACTTCGGGAAGTAGAAATAAGACAGGCCCTGCCCTCCGGAGCCCAGGGAGAGGGGTCCTCGCAGCGAGCCAGCACCGAGCTCCGTCTTCCAGCCTCCTCACTGGAACCTACTGGGAAGGAGTCGGGCTGCCAATCCAAAGGCATGTGGTTCGAATCCACCAGCGGTTCCCCTGGGGAAGGATGGGCAGTCCCCTCCCATGTGATTTGCAGCCCCTGAAAAGCTGCTGGAGGGTTGGCTACAGGTCGGCTCTGACTTGACAGAGCAACAGCAACAGCCTCCTCGCTTGTGAGAAAAGCAGCATCTATTTGTTAGTCTGTCACAGTGGCTGGTGCTACAGAACTTGTGCTGAAGTGAGTTACATGTTGTGCTGCTAACAGAAAGGTTGGAGGTTCAAATCCACCAGCCAAACTAAGATTTACCGCTCTGGAAATCTGAGCTAAGGGGCGCCGTGAGCTCGGCTTGACTTGACAGCTGCAGGCTTAGAGAACGGACACACCAGGCTCCCTAACCATCTGTCCTCTCGTGATGGGGCACAGCTACCTTTGTGTGAACCAAAGAGGCCACAGGTCTTTCTGTGGGAGACCCTGAGTGGGGGTGGGGGTAGGGGTGTGGGGGTGGGGAGCAGGTTCCAGGCACTAAACCTCACGCTGCTTTCATTCCAGCCTCAAGGGGGCGCCGTGGGAAGACTGTGCTGGGCAGGGCCTGAGTCTCACCCATGAGCCCCCCTGGTGGACCTGGACATCAGGGATGAAGTACTGGGTCTCCTGAGCGCCCATCCAGAAGCCCAGTGGTCACTCGGATGACCGCTTCAAGCTGTCTGGGTGAGCCTTGTTCAGGATGGGGTGTCCCAGCAATTCCAGGGGATTTGTTCTGCTGGACTCAGCCTGCAAATCAGGGTGAGGGACCACTGGCTCCTGATGACAGGGGGCTGTCACCTGCTGCCCCCTTGGTCCTTATCACTCATCCTCAAGCCACTCCAGTCTCCTGGGTGCAGGCTCCCCTCCCTTTAATCGAGCCTCCCTGCACCTGGCTTTGCAGACCTGAGCCAGCCCTGCCTCAAGCCAGATCACCGGTGGCATTCTCCCATCAGGGCACGCTCACTTCTGGTCTACCTCACACCGGGACGTTCCTCACAGGAGCTCACGCTTTTAGAATGCCAGTGCGCACTGGCTGGTATTGTCAAGTCGATTCCGACTCAGAGGACCCTGTGTACAACATAACAGGACAAGTCTTTGAAAAGACATCATGTTTGGAAAGGTGGAGGGCCCGAGAAAGAGAGGAAGACCCTCAGCCAGAGGGGTTGACACAGGGACTGAGGCAATGGCCTTGAGCGTGACCGAGACTGAGGATGGTGCATGGCAGGGCTGGGTTCAGATGTGTTGTTCACAGGCAGGGCTGCTCCGAGTTGGAGCCGAGTGGACAGCACATACCAGGGCACCTGACAGCGCGTCACTGGCTGTTACAAGGGTCGAACACGTGGGTATGTGTGAAGCTATTGGATGAGTGCCCGGGGTTTTGCCAGGATTATTAGTCCACAAATAACCAAATCCCCCACAAGCCAGGGGATGGAGAGAGGGTCCCCCGAGAGCCAGCCTTGTCTCATGCTGCACTTTCTTCTCTCTGGGGACCTTGCTAAGGAGGGGAGGACAGGGTGTGAGGACAGAGAGCTGTCTTTCTCAGTGTACATGGAGCCCCTCCCCAGAGAACCTGGCTGAAGGCCATGGCCCAGAGCCCTGCATGGTGGACATGAGGCCAGGGCAGCTGTATTTCACCTTTGCCTGCCTGGGGGTGCTAGGGTACAAACATGCCATCCTTGCTGCTGGCTGGCCTCGGTGTCCAGGGCAAGCACTGTGTGGACAAAAGCCTTTTTCTGACTGTGCAAACCTCTCACCTCTGAGAGTAGGACTGGGAGCCCAGAATGCATGGGTGGGGTGTGCTGGGGTAGGGTGACACCCTCCTCGGGCCACGGACCTCTCTGAAGCCCATGACATGGTCTACTCAAAGAGACATGCCCCCTTGTTCATTCAGAGGTCAGAGGTGAGGCAGAAGTTAGAGCTGAACGAGTCTGGATTGACAGTGCAGAACACCCCTGGGTCGGGGACCCCAAAAAAAGTTTGCACTCTGGACATGTGATAAAGGCAGCCCGTGCTGGCATGGCCACAAGGCCCTGGGAATCCTTGCTTGGAGTGTCACACACAGAAGGCTGAGCCTCCTCTCCAAGGAAGGAGGAAGGCAGAAGAGGGACCCCTGGGATTGGGGTGGGCAACGGAGACTGTCCACCTTCCCTTGCCACTTCCTTGGGGGCTTTGAGCTCTCCTAGACAAAACCAAGGAACTCCAGGCTGTGCACATGGTTAAATGTTCAACTACTAGCCAAAAGGTTGGCTGTTCAAATCCACCCAGGGAAGCCTTGGAAGAAAGGCCTGGCCATCCTATCCTGGGGCCGCAAGCTCTGTACCACAAGGTTGCCAGGGTCCAGTCCACCCACTGAGTAATAACAAAGCCCAAACCACAACTCAAATCCCCATCAAGTCTGGGCCACTCCCTGCGCCATCAAAGTCCAGCCTGTGACCGGACGTGACTAGAAGTGAAAGCTGCAAACCAAGGAGCAAACTTTCTCCTGCCTGAGACCAGAAACCCCAGCACCGGTGACAAGCGGGTTCTGTTAGAGCTTTGTCCCTGGGCGGGTGCATACTTAAGGTGCTAGTCATGCTCTAAAGCATAATTGAAATAAAAATGTCCTGGATGTGGCTTTTCCTGGCTGTTCTACGTGAAGAGGAGGCCTTTGGGAATGGCTGGAACCAGGGATGCCTTTTCCAAGCCATGACTTCCTACTTTAGAGCTGTTGGAAGGGTCCTGAGAGAGAATTGAACCGACATCTTACGGTTTTCCCAGAGCCGGCGGGCTCAGGGAGGTGGGGCCAGCGAGCATGTCCTTTCACGGTCCATGCCTGTGGAGAGGGGACGTGGACAGTGCCCTTTTGGCACAGTTGGGAGGTCCCTGTCAGTGGCTAGGGGCCCGAGTTCTAAGCACACAGCATGACTGGCTTTGAGTCGGTAGTGGTGGATTGAGGAAATGATGACAAAATGATTGGAGACTGTGATGCTGAGGGTGCAGTCACTGAAGGCGCTTGGTGCATAGGAAGAAAGGCCTGGCAGTCTGCTCATGACAAGTCGGCCTCTGAGGAAACACTCTGTCGCGAGCACTTCTTACGTGGTACATGTGGGGTCCCCTGGAGTTGGGGTGGGTCAGGGCAGTTGAGGAGGACAGTACTCAGAGTGGCCCCCCTGCCGTCCCACACCCTGTTTACCATTTGGGGGGAAGGAGGCCCGTGTCTCTGCCCACGTGTGACATAACCCGTGTCAACAGCACTAACAACACTAGCTCTGCATTCAGAGGCCGAGATATGAGCCATCTAAGGCCCCAGACCACCCCCACTGCTGACCGGTGGATCCCAGCTTACAGCGACCCTATAGGACACGGCAGGACTGACCCACAGGTTTCCAGATTGTACATTTTCACAGAAGCGGATTGCTGCACCTCCAGGTAACAGCCAAGAGCTTTAACCACGGCACCACCAGGCCTCCTCGGCATCCCTACTCCAAGGTCACCATCAAGTGAACGCCCACTCACGTCATCCCAACGTAGGTCACAGCACAAGACCCCCTGCCTGGGACTGCCCAGCTCTCAGCTGGGCATCTGGCGTCTGGGCACAAGTGTGCCCAGGAACTCGGGTGAGATGCCAGGGCCTGTGCAGCACCAAAGCCAGGAGGTAGGAGGGGCCAGCTCGCAGGAAGTGGTTGCCCTGTGGGGGAGGCGACAGGGGCCGCCCCTACCTGGGGATGTTTTCGTCGACGGTGGCACAGCCGTACAGGAACACGATGATGCCTACAATGGAGGCCGGGATGAGCATTTGGGTGTAGACGCCCAGCCAGGCGAAGTACAGGCCGATCTTCTCCCCGAAGTACTTCCTGTGTCAAGGGCAAAGCCAAGTACGCCTGCTCACACCCAGGCCACATGGGGGGGGCACCTCATCTCTGTCCCTGTCCCCCCTGCGAGGGATAACAAAGTACAGCCCTCAGTCCTGCTGGCCAAGAAGCTAGAGGACTTTAGCCAGCCTGCCATGTGGGGGTTCTCTTAGCGTACTCCCCTTCCTGTGTGGGTCTGGGAAGGCAGGACACTGTTGTGTGTGCTGCCTCTGGAAGCATTGGGGTGTCTTCGTGGGGTTGTGGACCCATCCCGAATCCTCCTCACCCTCGGCCAGAGAGCTGGGTGAGCTTTGGCAGGGAGGAGCCAGAAAATCACCCTGGTGCTGGGTGTCTGGCACCGTAGGAGTTTAAAGACTTTCTGGGGGCCACAGTGTTCCCTAACCTGCCGCTTCCCACTTTCTCACCCTGTGGAGAAGGCAAACTGCCCACAGAGGCAATCGGACACCCTGTAAGGCAGCCTTGTCTCCTCATCAATGCAGGGCAGAAAGCCAGACCTGCCTCCCAGGGGCAGAATACAGGAGGAGCCGTGGTGAACTTGATGGGAAAGAGCCCAACTTGTGGCAAATTTGAATAAATTGCTTAAATTAACCCTGGCCCAGAATGGCAGTCCTGCAGGAGCCCCTGGCTCTGGTACACAATCTCTTATTATTTCCTTCAAGTTTGAACAGGTCCCTAGGTACTGTGGGAACACACAGGGCCCTTCACAAGACTGAAATCTAACTACACACTTACTTCTCATAGCCTCTGCCCAGCCAATCCCACTGGTGCGCCCTCTTACCTGACCAGGTCAATGGGCTGGTATTTGTAGAAGACTCCATAACTTGCCCACTCTTCATACAGGAGCTGGGAGAAAGCAGTCAGTGGTTGAGTGAGAATATGACACATTATGTTTGTTCCTCTGAACACAGGCAGAGCTTCTGGGGATGCTGACAAACAGATGGACTTAACCCATAACTAAGCCATCTGTCTGTCCACCCACCCATCCATCCATCCATCTACCCATCATCCATCCATCCATCATCCATCCATC